TAATCTAATTCTCCTTATCGGCGCCTCAGAAAATATATAGAAAACAGCACGGAGAATGTTAGGTTACCAAGGGCTAAGTGGAACGTCTTTAAGAAACAACATATCCTGTTAACTCTTGACGCAGAGTATCTGAACACCCAATAAAAGACGACTAATTTTTCTTTTTAATAATTATTATTATTATTATTACATAAATGTAAATTGTGAACGTACGGTTGGAAATTCGTTCTGTGATAGAGGCTCTGACTGACAACATCTCGAACTTTTCGAACGGGACTTTGAGCGTGATGTTAGAAAATTCCGACAGGTATTTGATATGGCTCTCTCGACCGAGACGAAACGCTGCGTCATATCAGGAAACTCTTCTCTCATCATCTGCTACACTCTTAGGAAAAGATAACCACAGTTATTTCGATTGAGTTTCGAAACTAACCAATTCGCTCTGTGATTGGTCTAACGAAGGCACGTCATCGTCCTAACCAATCAGATTCAAACGTAACACCAATCAAGAGTTAAGTTGCGTTTTCTGTACTTCAGACAATATTCTCCCCTTTTACTCCAAGTTTTCATTGAATTCTTGTAATTTTTTCCTTGGTTCTGATTAGTTGTTATGATCAGTGGCGGACCTAGCTCAAAGCTCAAGGCCTGGTGATAACATCGGGTTGGGGGGGGGGGAAGGGGTTTGGAACAGCAACACACTCGTAATGCGCTTTTTTTTCTCTTAATCCCGAAGAGTGACAAGCGTCTAATTTCTCCACTAAATATCACTCCTGAATCACACGTTAAGGTCACAAGAAAAAGGTACTGATCACCGACTAAATGTTTCTCCTGATTGTTAAACAAATTCTCCTTGTCAGCACCTTAGGAAATGTATAGAGAACAGTATGAAGAATTTGCTTACTTATGCTAAGGTTGTTACGGAACGTGCTAAATTGAATGACCAACGTCTGACTTTTCACGTGTCTACCTTGTACGATACTTGCAAAGACGTGTTTTGCTCTTTCTTGACGTTCATAAGCGTAATTTTCATGAGACATCAAGCTGGACTGGGTGAGCTCTTCTTTCTTTCCATCAATCCATTCCGTTTCAAAAGTAACATCGACAGCCCAATTCACGGAATAAACCACTGGCCTTGACATGTGACGTGTAACAGAGTTGGTTATTTTCGGGTAATATGACAAAATCTTGGCCTGTAATGAAAAATCAACAAAAGGTTCTTCAAGAGAGAGTTTAGAGACTTGTTTTTTTTTTTTTAGATGATACAAGGATTAAAAAGCTCTTCAGCTTACTATTCACGTAGTTTACAGTTTCTGTAGTGCTTTGCTATTTGTAATTTTTTTCCCAAAAAGAGTTTGGCCTTTTGGAGAGATGCCAGTTGGACGCAGACCAGTTTCCGTCTTCCTCGGATAAATAATGACTCAGAGCTTGTCTACGGCCGTTTTGCTTTATCATCTTTTATGATGTCAGATTTTGTCGGCCAGATACTCGCGAGGAGAGAGCTTACTCGCGAGTTTACCTCGCGCGTACTCCTCGCGAGTTTCCTCGATGTATCTCATTTCAATTTGAGCTCGAACCGTAATGAGATTCACCGAGGAAACTCGCGAGGGGTATGTGCAAAGGAAACTCACACGCAAGCTGTCTCCTTGCGAGTATCTAGCCGACAAACTCTGACACGGGGCTGCATTATTTCCTTTGAAAATCTTAGATTTTGAATGATGGAAACTTAAACCCTAAATGTTCCTTCTGAAGTTAACAAAAGCTGGCGTCGTTAATTTTTTTCCGCAATGACAACTTTTTCGAAAAGTTCCGTTTTCGTTTCACAACTTTCTGCATTAATGTGGACGCCAAGCCAAACTTTACATTCTTAATTGTAATTTTAATAGATTTTTTCCACCCGGGGAACAAGTTTGCAACCTGAAAACCATCCCATGGTGACAAATTAACTAGACCTCACACCTTAAATGGCAAAAAAAAAGGTTTAATTAATCGTCTCTTAAATGACTTTTTTGAATACTTTTTTCAGCTGACTCATTCTAGACTATTTAAAATTATTTTAAATAACAAAGACAGGAAGATCTAAAGGCCGGAAGCTTTAACTTCTCTTTATACTCTTCCTTTTCTTCCTTCCTTACACTTTATAAATTTTTAATCAGTTGGATTAAAATCACTAAAAATAATATTTCTTCCTGGCTACCGACTCTAGTTTAGCGGTCTTTGACCCAGTAGAATACAGCGTGCTAGAGTGGACTCCCAATTTGACTCCCGGGAAGATTTTGACCACTCTCATTTAAAACGTCTTTAAAACTGAAATATAAAGTAAAATTATAGTAATCCTTCCGGAATGTCGTCCCAGTGCCTCAGGGATAGAAATCTTACTATTTTAGTGCGTGAGACAACATTTATCACAAAATGTTCACGATAAGATAAAGTTGTGTTGTAGTTTGTAGTTTTGCCTTAAGGTACTACAGCCTGCGAGGAAACCCTGGAAATGGAAAAAAGTGTTATTTGCTGACTACAAGTCGAACAAACTCATAAAGAGCAGGTGCAGGCAATTCGAAGAAACGTGGGTTTCGAAATTCGATGAACAGCTTTTACACTTGTGATATTTCTTCTACAATTTCAAAATTCAGAGCAGGAAAAACACTCCACTCACTGTTTCAAGACAGAGCGAACTTGACCTTTGTTTTTGTTATACCAAAACTGATCATGTTTCTATGAGAGTTTCTAAAGACTAAGCCATAATTTTTCGAGCTTTCCTCAGGAAATTCTTTTGAACCTTCTTCATCTTTAGCCATTCTTGTCTCTTTTTTCTGAGTTTATCATCGGCCCTCTTGCGTTTTTCTACGGAACTGATATTTTTCGAAGCAGGGCCCATTTCTGGAAGGCCCCGGTAACTTAACAGGCTCGTTAAGCTGTTTTGTTTTCATTCAAGATGGGGATTTCAAGATTTTTGAAAATCATACAATATAACTAGCAGTTAAAAAAACAAAATGGGCTGGTTTGGGTGCCAGAACCTGCTTTTCTATCCTTTTATGTTTTGATTTTAAAACATGGCTTCGGGTCCGTTAATTTACCGGGACTGATTATAACGCGCGAAAAGGCTGAATTAAAAGTCGACGACCTTTCGAAGTTACCCCAATGTCATTACCTAGTCAAAAAATAATAAAAACATGCAGCAATAGACACTAAAAAGAACAAGAGCTGATAAAAGTAGAAAAACTAACCGACACACAAATTAATTAAAACTGCAAGTTAAATAAATTGTTTCGCTCGTATGGAGTCCGTTTGGAGTCCACAATCGTTTATCAGCCGTTCTCAATCCCAGACTCCTGCAAGGACTTGAGTTCTACTTAGGCACCAGTTTCCCCGCGTCTAAACAGTTAAACCCAGCCTTCACCTGCCTTTAAAACCGAAGGTACCACATTTTGCGAAGAAGTGTTAAGCGTTCGCTCGTCGAAAGTGCTTCCTCTAAGTCAGAAATCTAATAATGATTTCAATACTCTTCGACTATCTTCAGATACTGTACTTACAAGCCAATTACAAAGAAAAATTCCTATTTCCAGTCTAATGTATGATTCATCGATCGCAAGGGTTTGTAATCAGATACTGACGCTAACTTTACACCTGAACCCGAAAATCCCAGAACCGGCGCAGAACTGGCACCCCTCCCTCCCCTCCCAAACCTTTGCTTCTGTCCTTTCCCCCACCCCCTTCATCCACTCTTTTTCTCACCTTAGTGCTCCTCTTTCTTCTACAGCTGCACACTAACGGCGGGAATTTTCTATGTAAGTGTTGCGCTTTTTCCCGCCCTTGTTACTGGCGACTCACGGTCGTCGCTTGGTACCCCGATTGGTTCTCAAGTTACCTGTGTTCTGCGTTTTCCCGCCCTTGTTATCGCTTAGCGCCCCGATGGTTTCCTAAGTTATCTAGGTTGCGTGTTTTCCCGCCCTTGTCACTGGCGGCAAGTCACCGCATAGCGCACCGATTGGTTCTTAACTGAGTTATCTGTATCACATTTTCCCGCTCTTTTCATCACTTAGCATCCTGATTGGTTCTTATTTAGCTATCTGCGTTATGACTGGTCAGGTGTGATAACCTAGTTAACTGTAGATCAGTTGTAAGGCTCTAACAAAAAACTGTAATTAATTTTAGAATTTACTACTGACTTTTTCACGTACTACTGCCTAACCTTCGTGTGAAGTCATTGAAAGTCGCAGAGTAATTCAATCCAAGTTCGTTGCCACTGATCCATTCATCGATCAACTTAGGATGAGAAATGTCAACTTCTAACCATACCGAGCTACAATAGAAAAATACCCCGAAACATTAACGCAATGGGAAAGGTATAAGAGAAACTTTCGCGAGCGGAGGCCCATACCTAAGGAAAAAAGTAACCCAGCAGTTAAGGCCGAGAAATGAGTGTACACAAAACTGTTTTTCGTAGGCACAACAAGCTGCATCGTAGGCGAACGTGGTACAGTTATGTAAAAGGTGACGATTAATCGCCTTCCCGTTAAAAATTAACCCAGTGAAACTCCGCGTTGGGGCTTGTCTGAATCTAGATCAAAGTACCTAACCTAGAATAACATCAGATGACTGAGCAACAATCTCAGGTACTCACCTACGTCTTCCAGGCTTTAGTAGCACCGGCGATATACGTAAAATGTCTCTAATAACATCCAACCCATCAGGTCCTCCGCATAGAGCATGTTCATCTTCATATCTGACAAAAAGAAAAACAAAGCAAATCGATATTGTTTTGTTCCTTTGTGTGTGTATGAGTGTTTGTTCTCGATCTTATTTATTCCCATTTATCGCCACTGACCAATAACATTAACCCAAAATCACAAATGTATAAATAGACCAACCTGGAAATTTCAGGTTGTAATAGAGCCATGTCTTTTGCGGGAATATAAGGAGGGTTGCTGATAATGGCATCAAACTTTCTTGACCCAAGTAACGGTAGCACGGATTCTGAAAGGCAGACAAATAATACGAAAAGGCGTACAGTGAGCATCGGCTATACATGACGGTAAGCTTTCCCGCAAGTGAAGTGAATAATCATTTGCAAGGCTTCCCTCAATTTAGTGCTGATAGGTGTTTCTACACGGCGCAAAGTTCTCTCGCTCTCTAAGCTAAAACGATGTGACAAGTTTACCCGTGACAAGTTTACCCGTGACAAGTTTACCCGCTCATTTAAGCGGTTACACAGAGAGTTTTCCCGCACTTTAAGATGCCACATGGGTGGTAGCCTTCAACACTACTGGAGAATAATAAGTTTGACAGCGCAATAAGCTGTTACACGTTGACAAATTTTCCCTCCCTAAAAAAAAGGTACTGGTTACAAACTTTCCCGTCTTGAGAGCAAGCGTAAGGAATGATACGTTTTCCCGCGCTTTGGCTGGTACGCGATGGCAAATTTTCCTATCGGAGTTAGATTCGAGAAAAACTACTCACGGAGATCGGCATGAAGCAGTTCTATCCTGTCACTTACATTGCATCTGAAATAAAGAGCAGAACCAATATTTAACTACTTCATGTTGCATCGTTTAGGGCCTGTTCAAATGGAAGTGGGAGACCCCATGTGAGTGACATGATCCGCCTAGTCGTGGTCGAAAAATGAAACGCGTTTACATGCAATCTTACCTCCATGTAAACAGGCCCAGGTTCTTGAGCCCTCGGTTTCTGGCTTCCCTTCTCCGATCAGACTTGATTCATTTTAGCGCGCCCTGCAGAACTCTTGCAGTGAGGTGCTCGAAAAATGTAGGGTACCTACAACTCGTGCACCTCACTTACAGAGTTCCGCGCGGCGCGCTCACATCAATTTATTTTCCGCTGATTTTTTTTTTTTTACTTACAGGCTTGAATTTTTTTCAGATCTTAATTTCACTATTGCTTAAACAGTGCTCCTCACTGCGAAGATCGTTCTCATATGCGTTTCTGTAACCGTAGTTCAAATATATGACTTTCATATATTCTCAGCATTTGATTTTTTTTTCTTACTTTCGCGAAGGACTTTGCCGAAAAGGAAGGACTTCGCGTAGTCTTTTTCTTACCTGTTTGCATTATTCCTTGTTAGATTTACAGCAGCTTTATTCTTATCAATGGCTACACATGTGGTCTGGCATCACAAACAAAGAAAATACAGATTCGAGTCAATATTAGGCATCAAAGTTACACAAAGCAAGCAAAACACAATTGCTTCATGGGAAGCAAGTTAAATCGGTCATCAGACGAAATGCCTTCAAAAGTTACAGCTGCAACAACTTGGTGCATGTTGTGATTCAGAGTCATGGTACAGCATTTTAAACAAAGGGAACTGCAATCATAATTTTAATTGGAACTAGGTTGAATTTATTTTGATCTGAAATTCCTTTTAAATGACTGACAACATCTTCACTAGTGGCCATTTCATAGCTAGCTTACTTTACCTTAGAAAATTCAGTCAATAAAGACAAACATATGGCTCCACTTCCACAGCCAATTTCCAAGAATGAAAAGGAATCACCTCCAGTTTCATCTTGAACATGATGTTCAGCCACCAGATCAATTAGTTCCTGAAATTGGAAAGAGTTAATTAATGACATTAGCATCAACATTGCTGGTTGTAAACATGGCAGCCTTTTTAGCCAGCAGCAATAAGTCAGGAAATTGAAGAACCAAAAACTGTACATACTGGTACTAAGCAATCTTACACTTACCAATAAATAACGCAGTTTTTAGCCAAGATATGATAAGCCGCACAGCTTGTCCAAATTTTTCACCTTTTGTCTTAGATACTTATCTCAAGATGCTTCCTTAAATTGACCTAAACGACATGTGTACCTTCACCTTTACGAACGGGAATCTCTCATAAGAAAAAAAAACCCAACATCCTTTTATTTGAATCTTAGAGCAGTTTTCAGTCAAGTATTGAAAGTGATCCTGAATTGCTTTGTTTTTACTTCACTTTGCTCCGTGATTGGCCAAGAAAACTCAGGCCACTTTGTCAACAAATCAGATTCTCAATAGATTAAAAATAACCAGTCTCAACCAATCAAATGCACAACTAAAGCCAATGAGTCCCAACTCGGTCACTCACATTTTCATGTCCGTTAAACCTTTCACTCTCTCACGATCTCTGTGGTAATTCTCCTTACTGTCAGCCAAACAATTATTTTCATTTGAATTCAGGGAATTTGTTATTGGATCAACAAATAAACCCCCGACTAACATTTTTCTTTATTCTCATTACTCATCTACTTAATATCACACTGATGTTGTAAGGAGAAATTTTGTCTCAAGTGGTCACTCATGAGAGTTAAATGGTTATTATATTGCATTGTATTATATTTAAAGATTCGTACAGTGTGCAGACAAGAGAACAATAGGACACGTAGTCCCCTACTAGGTTCACCCACCTAAACCAACCCCAACCCACCCATCCCACCCCAGGGGAGGACAACCATCACACAGTAATCTCA